ACGGTGAAGAAGACGAAGGATGATGGGGATCTAGAATCAAGGATGCTGAGAGAGAGAAACGAGGAGTTGGAGAGAGAGCTGAGGAACAGCAAGGAGAGGGAGGAGCAGATGAAGACGGAGCTCTCAAAGGCCTGGGAGAGATTACGAGTTGCAGAGGAGGCGGAAGAGAGGCTCTGCAACATGCTTGCCGAACTAGAGGCCGAGTCCCTTCACCAGGCGCGTGATTATCACGCTCGCATTATTTCCCTCATGGACCGGCTCTCGCAGCTTTCTTCGTCCTGATCGACGTACACTGTGTATGAATATGATCAGTATATATCCGGAATCTTACATCAGTACCGAATTAATTCTGGTTCTGTTCTTTACTGTATCTGCGGTTCGCGCTTCTCCTCCTTGTCTCCGTGTACTTTTATTTTTTTCCTTCTTTTTGTGATTAGGTTGTAGTGTTGATAAACTGTTCTTCACCACCCCGCGAAGAAGAAGAAGAAGATAGGCTAGTTTTTCTTTTTAGTTCCTCTGTATTTAGATTTCTCTGTTTTGTTCTCCGACGCAGCTGTAATCTGCTTGCACATGACAGTAATTTACACTTAATATTTTCGCTAAATTACAAAAAAGTTCTACTGAATTTATTGCATTTTAAATGCTATAATTTGATCACCTTCCCGAAGGCGGAATGGAAAAGATCGAATCATCAAGTTCGTGCTGTGCAATTTGAATTATTGAAGTAACATAAATTAATAATTCAAGTACTCATTACCCATCAATACCAAACAATTCTAATACGAAAAACTCCATTATGATCAATCTACAAATAAAAAAATTATGAGTAATTTATCCGTATGTATTCAACTTCGCTCGGTTGGATCTGGAATTGGTGGTTAAGATTTGAAGTTTGAATGGCCGTCGTAACTTTCTCTGCATCTCGGAGCTATATATTCGGGACGTTTGCCGAAGCAGTACCGGCCACTGAGGGTTCGGGATTGTCATTGAGTGGCTCTGGTAAAAGAATAATAATTGTACTTTAAATAAAATAAATGAAATAGGAGTGACAATGAAATTTGTTTTGTTTTTTTCCGTCTTAATTTTTTGAATAAATTTAAAGAATCGTATGCTATAATGTGGCATATTCTCTTCGATTACTTCGTGACAATTGTAATATTCTTTTTTTTTTTTTTGTTTAATTGTCAATTACTTTTGTAATACCCAACTTTTTTTATTAATTATTATTGTATAAATATAATTATTATTTATATAATTTTAAATTAAATTTAATGTTAAATGAACTAACTAGAAAATTTGTTCTCATCTTTACAAAAGGGCAATCTTATTAATTGCTCATCAATTAAACAACATTTAATTATTTGTAAAATATATTAGAAATGAGTAATTTTTACATAATCGTATTTCAATAATTTAACATATTTTAATAATTAATTTAATATTAAATTAGTTTAATACGTACGTTTTAAAATTAAAAATTTTGCACGCGCGCACGCGAGAAGCTTACTTTTTAATAGTTAACGTGAATTAGATGATTACTTTCTTTTTCATATAAAATTGGATAATTCCTTTATTAAATTTTGGACGGTACATATATAATAATGTTCTACTTACATTTACATGTTACACCGCCAAAACATATTATAAAAAATGGGTCGGTGGTTTTTCATATAATACGTTAATACTAATTGACTTAATTACTTACTACAGATATATTAAATTTTAAAATAATATATATTTAAAAATATTTATTATAAAGTTTAATCGAAAAATTTATATTATTTTTATAAAAGTTATATAAATAATTTATATTATCACTACGTGCCAAACACGTGGCAATCCAAGCGTGCCATCTGCAACTGAAATGATTAAGAAATTGAAAGTTCTCTTGCGACGAAAGCCTCTGATTGGATCGTTCCAAGATATTTTCCTTAAAGGAGGGTAAACTATTCAACGACTAAATATTTTATTTTTAATATAAATAAACTATTTATTAAGTCTCTTGACCCAATTATGTCAATTTTTTTTATTAAAAAATAAAAAATAAACATTTAAAACCTAAATTTTAATTAAAAAAAAAACGTTATAAATATCAAAATTCGAAAACTGCAACTTTAATAAACAAAGTAAAAGCTCGTAGTATTTAATACTTCAGCTCATCTTTAAGAAGCTTACATTAGACGAGGTGGGATAGGAGAGGAGAGACATTCAAAGCCATTGCAGATCATAAGAAAACACTAATATCATTGGAAAAACAATTGGATAATTAAGTCAAATGATGCAAACAAAGAGTATCTCTTCAACAGGAAAACTATTTCCTACCCTCTATAAAAATTGTCCATCAGCAGAAGTGCAACTACAGCTTCATCGCCTCTCTCTCAGCTCGGCATCCCTAAAGAACAAATGCATAATCACGCACGAGATGAAAATCAATGGTTTAAGGGAGACTAATACCATTAACGGAGTAGAAAATCAAACCTCTGAATGTGATCTAGGATAAGCAACCTTGGTCCAGGTGGGATTTTTACATCTCTAAGAGCACTGAAGTTGAATTTGGAAAAATGGAAAAACGCCACTAAAGTATGTCAAAACAGGATACACGCGCGCAGAATGATAAACCAGTTAGAATGAAACGATGAATGGGAGCAATAAGGCCAGCCACTTGCCTGTCAGTTAGCAACGGTAAAGTGTTATCAGTTAGCAAGCCTCTCTTGAAATTCTTCTCGTAGTTTTGAAGGCCGAGCTTATTTAACATAGACCTTGTTCTGACATAGTACGGATCTTCAGCTGGCGGTTGAGAGAATTTTTGTCCTACCTGAATAATCATATGAAAAAAATTCTCAGCATACCAGAATATCAGACTGTTCGCAGGGAAATTGCCAAGGAGTTTAGTTTGGAAATGTTTTACGAATGATGGTACAATTACAGACGAGGATGTCACACCTACAAAATATGTTACCATAAAGTTGACCTTGCAATATTAGCTGAGAGCACCAATTTTTTAGTTCTTAGATGTCAATAATTAAAGATAACACTTCTCAAAGGTTAAAATAATAGTAATTACTTGTAAACTCGAATTTACACGACTATCACACCATACTTTACAAGAAAAAAATTCAAACTAAAGCACATGATACTGAATTATTTAAAATCCTAGTTATATTAATGCAAGTTTGTATGTGATTATCTGGAAAGAAGTTTCGGTTCCCAGACAACTTAGCAACGGTGATTGATTTGCATAAGCATAAGCATTGCCCTTTGTATAAGCATCAGTTCCAAGAGTTCAGCATGAAATAATCATTGCAACAGGTTGAAATAACATTATTTACGTTTTACCCCTGTGCATTCTTTTCAAAATAACTATGTCGATCTTATGATTACTCACCTTGAAAATCCCAGCTTGAACTACTGCAAAAGCCAGTCCAGAAGAGATTGCATTTGCTACCTGATTTGGGCCACCCATGCCACTAACCAAGGAAAAAACAGCTCCGGAACCAAAAGCTGCCACCATGCTGCAATAGTAATTTAGTACTCTCGAGGAATTACAGAACATTAAAGCACAAAGTTCGCAACTGAAAGAGAAAAGTTCTTGAAATAAATTTCTAAAAGCTCATACAAAACCCATAGCAAAGAAGAGAAAAGTTGCAACTAGGAGAAGTGATGATTAGCTCTAATATCATTCTTATGAGTTTAGGAGAAATAAACCCTAAAAGCTAGCTATTAAAGTGGGAGAGACAAACTCATATCAACCCCACACCAAAGTCGCACACTTTCAATATAGGATCCAAGTTACTTTACCACGTAATGAAAAGAGAATGAAAAAGTTATATTCTCGCAAACTTCCTTTCAAATGAGACTAGTTCCGGGTAAAACAGAGAGACAGGTGTCTAAGAGGAGTAAGAACCCATAGACAACATTTTTTGTTTTAGGAACTTAAAATATCTCCATCAGAAAACAGTAAAGTGGATGCTCTCAATCAGATTCATGACAGCATAAATTCTGAGACAACAACCCACGATGAAATTAGAGTACCAGCCAAAGTAGGGAAATCTATATCGACATTCTTAATATATATACATGTATATGTATATATTTATGAATATATGTTTTCATTGTCAAGATGATACATAATCTCTATCTACTAAACAGCATAAGAAGATCATACCCCACAAAATATGAGAGACAAATAGAATTATCATTAAAATTTACTCTAGTTGACATGAACCACATCCCAAAGATCAAATCCACAAACTAGAGAAGGTTAACTTTTGTGTGCACTTAAGCATAAAGAAAATAAATGCATTTTAATCACAATCCTTTTGACACTCTCCCTATGATAAATACCTATTGCCTAAGAACAGAGAAGATGGTGATAAGTATACCAAGAGAATTGATATAAACATGATGAACAAATAAAATAATATAATGCACCATCATCTCTAGTACTAGAAAGAAAAACTTGCTTTTGTTGTGTGATATTTTAAGAATCTGTGAGCAATTCTTAGTTCACACGATCCCATTTGGTTCAGTTCCTATTCCTTTCCTCGATAATTCTTATATTAATTATAATAAGCTATTAATTAATAATTTTTTTTGAAATAAAAGATGAAAGTGTTGTTATTCACAAAAGGTACTAAAGAAGTACCAACCAGTTACATAGTAATTACATATCAATTAGGTGGTCAATGACGCATCCCAAGTCATCCCAATCTAATATGTCATGATCCAGCAAAGTGGATCCAAAAGTATGAAACCATCTATTTTTAATGTTTACAAAATCTGTTTCTATTTCCTCAAAAACTCTAACATTTCTTTCCTTTCACACATCCCAAAAAATGGTAAGTGAAATAAAAAATAAATGTTTTTTCTTTTTACAAATACCTGCCCAAGCCCATAATTCATTCCTTACATTACCCGCCATAACCCATCTCATTCCCATCAACCTGAACACCGACATCCATAGGCTATGAGTAACTGGGCAAAATAATAAGATGTGGTCACATGTCTCCTCATCAGCCTTGCATTAAAAACATTGATTAACAAAGATGTTGCCCCGCCTCTTTAACATGTCAATAGTCAAAATACTTCCTCTTGAGGCTTCCCAAGCAAAAAAAAACCATCATAGGGGAGGCTGCAGCTTTCCAGATTTGTCTAAATGAGACTATCATATTATTCCCGTTGTCCTCTTTGGTTATAAAATTGTAATAGGACTTCACCGAAAATCCATTCTCATCCAACTTCCATATCCTCCTATCCTTCTGATTATCCATGTTAATTTCAGCCAGCACATTGAGTAAATTACAATATTTATCAATTTCCCAATCCTGCAAGTTCCTTCTAACCTGTACACTCCACCCCTTTCCCCCATCAACATTCTCATACACTTTATCCACTGTAATGTCCCTCTCACTAGCAATATTGTAGATATTAGGGAATCTATTTTTCATTTTGAAAGTCCCCGCCCATTCATCCTGCCAGAACCTTACTCTTTCTCTATTCCCCACCTTCCATTCCATGCAATCCTGAAAACTACTGCCTTCCCTACTGATTTTCTTCCATAAACTCATCCCGTACAGTTTGTATTTTCCTCTTCTCCCGCCATCCCGCTCCCAATCCCCCCATCTCGTCTCCACCACCTTCCTCCAAAATTTGTCATTCTCATTCCCATGAAGTGCAACATTCAAACCCACAATGGATCTAAATCCAAGCCCACCCCTATCCATAGGTTTCTTCACCACCTCCCACCTTACCAAATGATATTTTCTACAACCATCATCATCAACCCAAAGGAATCTGCATTGGATCCTTACAAACTTTAAAGCAATGCTAACCGGAATAGTTAATATAGAAAGATAGTAAATTGGGAGATTCGCTAACGTACTCTTGATTAAGGTAAGCCTCCCCCTTTTAGATAAAAAACTCCTCTTCCAACCCGCAAGCCTCCTCGCAAACAACTCCACAATCGGATCCCAAGCCCTAACATCTTTAAATTTCGCCCCAACGGGAATCTCAAGATATTTGATAAGCAGCGAAATGATTTTACAGCCCAGCACCCTAGTCATCTCCAACTCATCCCTCCTATCCCCCAACCTAACCATTTCTGTCTTTCTCATATTGATTCTCAGCCCAGACACCATTTGAAAACAAATTAAAATACATCTCAAATGAAGCAAAGAGGATAAATCCGGTCCACAAAAGATGAGTGCATCGACGACAAAAAATAAATGAGAAACCTTCACCCTAGAATCGTCATCCCCCACTGATATGCCTCTCACCAGATCCAGCTCTCCAGCGCTCGCCATCAGGCTGCTAAAGGCTTCCATAACAGTAAGAAAAAGAAGGGGAGACAGCGGGTCCCTTTGGCGAATACCCCTCGACGCCCTGAAGAAAGACGAAGGACCCCCTGTTCACCATCACAGCCAAAGAGGTAGTAGATATACAATTCTTTATCCATTTCCTCCATTTACACCCAAAACCCATCCTCTCAAGCATATAAATAACAAAATCCCAACAAACATGATCATAAGCCTTCTCCATATCAATTTTATAAACGATACCTTCTTTAAGCTAATAATAGTTTTGATATCTAGAAATGTTATAGGAATCAAACCAAAACACAACAGATTTGGGTTCACTTCCTTTCAATACTAACCAATTCACTGTTCTATGTTTCATATTAGTTTGATTATGCATAATTACAAAATAAAATATTCTGTTTAAGTTAATAGGTCTCCATCTTGAATTTTAATTGTGATAATTCGATTCTTACATTTTTAACGCGTGGATGTGAATTTCAATGCTTCATATGTTACACAATGGGAGTGGTGATGAATAAATTCTAATTATGCATAATGAGAATAATATAAAAATTAAAACTATGAAGAGATTTTACTTTTGTTTATGGAAGTGTTGAAGATCAAACTGGATATACTTTCACTAAATGCTAGTCCACAATAATCATACTGCAAGTGCAAAATGAATTATATTACAAAGAGCATGAAGGAAATCTCACTTAGACTGGATATCCTCCTTCCCTCTGAGTCTTTTCATGACGCAGGATATGCCAGCATTAACACCAGTCATGATAGCAAAGTTGCGAGCTTGGATAGCCGGTCCACCAGACAAAGCCTAGATATCATTGCAAAACATTTCTTACCTGTAAATTCTTCTTTCAGCAAGAAAAATATTTCTGGAAAACGAAAGCTTTCCTGGAAACTTTAACTCTGAAACTCCAATATTGGGTTTGGGAAATGATTATAAAATTGCAAAATCAAAAATTACGAACGAGACCTGAGCTTGCTTGAGAGAAGCCATAGCTTGAGGATTGAGGGATGCCTCAGGGGGAGCGGTAATAGACGAAGAAAGGTCTTTGGACAGGAAACCTAACATGGCGCCCATTGCTCCTCCCTGAGCCGCACTGGCGGAGGTGACAACTGCAGCCTCCACGGGCAGTGGCTGCTTAGTCAACCAAGCCCGAAATCCATTTTCAAACTCTTTCAACTTTACCTGCAGCTGCTCAATAGGGTTCTGCTGCGTCGCCACCACCATAATTCCTCCTTGTTGTGGCTGCTGTTGTGTACCTCTCTCCATATCCGTCGACTCTACTGTGCAATTTCCCTCTAGCTGTCTCCTGATTCTTTTACCTAGTGAGGAGGACGGACACTGGATAGCAAGTAGCAGCCTCCTTTTGTTTCTATCTTCTTAGTTGTGAATTTTGGGCCTTAGTTTCGGCCCATCAACTGCTTGGTGGGCTTTGGCCATACCAACAATCTTAACTTTCTGAATCTACAGCTACGAAAGCAGGAAACAGGAGAAGTGCCGCCTATGAACTCGCGCTCGATCTCCAGCCAGCTTCAGCCTGATTTTCGTCGCTGATCGTCATTGTCTGGCTGTTAGAGCGAATTTGTGTTATTTGCAGCGGTTCAGGTACTGATTACCTTCCTTCGATAATCCTACTGTTCCCTTTATTTAGTGGAATTTTGTTCCCTTTTCTGTTCAAGGCAAAAAATTCTTTTGTTCTTCGAAGAGCTTCTGGATTCGATTAGACATTGTTTATGCTTTCGTATACTTTTAGGGGCTCTAATTCGAACCAGTCCTCTACCAGTACATGCTTCCATTGATTATCATTTCTTTTCCTGATGCTTCCCTTATGTACTGGATAACTCTTTTGTTTTGCTTACAGCTTCTCAATTCGAGACAACAGTTTCTACAATATATATATATATATATATATATATTTATTTATGTTCTGTAATTTACAGAAGTCCCTTTAGTCATATTGAATGCTTTCACTGACTTCTGTTCGTCTATGCCGGTGCTCTTCATCAATAGCAAATGAACTAATATCCAGCTTGCTTTGTGCTAATAGATTTCGACAGGACAGCTTGATTTTCATCAACAACTATATTGAAGTAAGTCAACCTAGTTCAACATGAGCAACTCCAGGGAGCAATCTCCGGATTGGTTGCACGCTTTCCAGGTTTTCTCCATTTTGTTCTTCGGTTCTTCTGCATGATTTATTAATTGTACGTTTATATACCTAGGGCTAGAATCATTCTTCTGCTTCTTCGTATTTTTTTGTTATTAATTTCTGACTTTAAATCCGAGTTTGCATTTTTATCAATGCATCCTCATCTTCTAATTTATAGTGATTAACTCATTTTCTAATGCAAGGCGTAATGGCAGTTATACCATATCCAAGCTAAAATTACTTGGTTTGATTTATGACAGTAACTTAATATTATATTAAAGTATATAGAGGGTTCATCTAAATCACTGTTTTCTTTCTTCTGTATTCAGGGTTACATCAGTTGGCTGATCCCAAACCAGCCAATCTTCTAGTAATTGAATTGTTTTTCTTGGATATATTCTTTGCTTGTTGCGGTTTTGTAGCAATTAGGTTACCTTTGTTTCTTTTCTTTGGAAATGTTTGGAACAAGTTCACTAAATTTGTGGAGGTCATATGTAAATTACTACTTTAGGATTTAATTCGGTTAAAAAATGATACAAATTGAACTTATATGAAATATTTCATTTCCTTTTCTTATTTTTAATACTATGTTAGGGATTTGGGTTTTCTAATTTTTTAAATCAAATTATTCAAAATAATTGAATACTTAGATTATTTTGAATCAGAACTAAAAGAAAGTGCCATGTCATGCACAACAAGTGCATAAGCTAACGGCATTAATAAAAACTAAACGAATGCCAAATTCTCTGTTGATAAAGTGGTTTATTTGAATATAATAAAAAATTTATTTATGTAACTAGATGTAAATTTCTTGCTTTTTAAGTGGAAGTTTACTTTTAATCGATGTCCCTCATTGGAATTTGCAACAAATATTTGGTCTTTTTATGAATAGTCTTAATATTGTCTGTGAGCTGCTAAGTGGTGGAAGTTATTTTGTTGAATAGGCACCAACTTGTTCTACGCTGTCAATACCCTCAGATTCTAATGCTTCACCAAGGAGTAGTCCATCAAGAGAGGACACAGATGTTGAAAAAGAGCCATCCATTTATAAATTATTTCCGGTGCTGGAGAGAGGAAAAAAACATGATGCTAGTGCAGATGCTGAAACATCTCCATCCAAGAAGAGTTTGCAAATGAAGTCTCCGAAGAAGCAGCCGAAGGTAGTTTGCACATTCTCAAGAAAGAGGAAAGTATCTAATATTGTTAAAACTGAAGGTATGATGGGGGTTTTGGAGATGGATGTTTATACATGCAAACAAATTTACTAATCTAAATTCCCAAGGTTGTGTACGTTAATCCTATTAACCCTTCATTTAAATGTAGGGCCAGAAAAAGATCCCACTTCTGATTGTTTTCCTTTCCCTGTTGCTTCTTAATATGCTTTGGCATATTTTCTTTCTGTTATAACTATTTTCAATTTATTATTTCTTCCCTTTCAAGGTCTATATCATGAACTTTTTTAAAACTCATATAGGGAATGGTGATGATGAGAAAAATGGAGAGGAAGAAACAGCTAAGAAGGATTTGGATCCTCAAGTAAGGATCTTCACTTGAGGGTAGCCTCAGCATATCAGTTATCTTAAGTAGTGTTAATTTTTGCAGTCTTCTTGCATCTTGCGGCCTGTGAAAATAGTAATCATTTAGAAAAAACCTGTAGTTCATTCCAATTTGGCAGACTTGTTTATGGGCTGGTTCAGAACCTAGTTGACATAGCAATTATTTAGAGTTTTCTTTTGGAGCTAAATTTCATCATTTAGAATGACAAATTAAGTAATTTACCTCTTTGATCAGTTAGTTTTTGTGTAAATATTAGCACTGAATGTTTTTTTTTTAAATCTATTGTATGCAAGTAATTTTACTTCATATTCTTTTTGAAAAGAAAGAAATATATATATTTATGAGCACCAAGAAGGTGATACCTAAATACAAAAATATTTACAGCTCTAATAACATGTCTATAAGGTCTCCAAGATCCTTGTGATAGTACAACTTGGCTGCTTAACAAAAAACTTAGAGCCTAGAACAGCAAATCTTTTACTCCACCAAAATGAGATCTTATACCCTCACAAGCCCTCCTTATTCCTTTCTTTCCATATAGCCCAAAAAGTAGCCAAAGAGATGAGCCTTAAAGAATGTTTGTAACTATGAATGTCTTTCCATGCCCAAAGCTTCTCTCTTACAAACCCTGCCACAACCAATTCAAGCCCAATAGACCATTTGTCAGAGACCAGAGATAGTGAGCAAATGGACACCAAAGGAGGAGATGATTACATGTCTCAGCATCCTTTCACACATATAACAACCAATTCACCCGGATTTTACCCTCCTAATTGACTTGTCCAATGGCAGGGTACATTCCTTGTCAGCCTCGTAAAGTAAGTTACTTTAGGAGTCGCCTTCACTTTCCACACTAGACTAGCTGGGAATTTCTCGCACTTCCCCCCTCTTTTAGTCATATGCAAGTAGTGCGACTTGATAGACACAGACCCTTGGAGTTTAGGCTCCAATGATTTTACTTTGAAGGGCTCCTTTACACATATCAATTCTTTTCCACAACCAAATGCCATGAGGGGCCTCAGGCCTTCTAGCAAACCAATTGAAAGCCTTTAACCCATATTTTGCTTTAACCACCTTCCTCCAAGAACTGTTTTGTTCACTCATGAACCTCCAGAGCCATTCACTTTGCAAGACTGAGTTGAATTCAACCAACGATCTCACCCCTAACCCACCCATCTACAAAGGTTGTTTCACCCGTCTCATGCTATTAAGTGGTACCTTCGCTTATTATCCAAGTCGCCCCATAGTTACCTTTGTTGAATTGCCTCCAACCTCTTAGCCACACCAGCTGGAGTGGTGGCTAAAGACATGAAATAGAGGAGATGTTAGCTATAGAGCATTTAATAAGGGTAAGTCGACTGCTTTTAGCAAGTGAACTCATTTTCCAACCTGCCAAATGAAGCACTAACCTATTCACTATTGGATCCCAAGCCGAGGAGTCTTTGAACTTCGCACCAAGTGGAAGGCCGAAATACCGTATTGGAAGACTAGCATTCTTGTATCCTAGAATATTTGCCTAGTTCTCAGCTTCCCTTCTATCACCAAGATGTGCTAGTTCTGCCTTTGCTAAATTGATATTGAAGCTAGATACAGCTTGGAAGCAAACTAAGACACCCTTGATATTAAGAATATCCCTTGGATTCGGCTCACAAAAAAGAAGATTCATCAGCGAAAAGAAAATGTGTCATTACCAACCTCCTCCGTCCCCTCCCCCAACTTCATAAAGTAATTTTACTTCATATGATCTTCATAATCTGTAACTACACTAATTTGAAGTAAAATAGCAGAGATGACACATTTTTTTCTCTTGATAATATTCTTGAAAAAATTAACTTGATTAACTAGGTCATAGCATCTGTTTTTTGGTGGACCTATTGATTCTTGCAAAGCTAGAAGAAAGAAGGATTACTAATATCACTAATCTGCAAGCTCATATCCTTTTCTTTTTGAATTTTTCACTTCTATATTTGGCATTTATACTCTTTTAAGTACAGAAGTTATTGACAAACATTTTGTAACATGTTCTGAAAGATTACCAAAGAGGAAACAAGTGTTCTGCACAGAGAGTGGACTGGTGGATTCCAGTTTGGGAGCAGCTGATGGTGTTTATCAGAATTGCATAAACACTATTAATCTTGAATTTACCCAATTTAGGTTGATATTTCTCAAGCCAGAAAAGTAAATGTGACTATCAATTGGAATTTAGGGCATATTAACTTGATTGAATTCAAGAAATGTAATTTCTTAGTCATCCAAATAGACGATTTCTTTTAGATGAATTCAGGATGCTGAATGTCTTCTATGACATTCATCATGCTGATCTGTCATGTTATTAGACATTGATGGTTTGGAGGTGAGAGGAACGCCGAGTGAGGATTTTGTCGGTTTATTTTAAAAAAAGAAAAGTTTATCTGGACAACCAAGGAATACCATTAGTATAATGATTTCTAGGATGGAAATATCTGTAGGAAATTGCTTAATCCAATTATTTTAACTTTTATATATGCACTTCTGGCTTGTTTAACCAGGTTGAGGTGATTTTAATTATGGTTTTCTTAGCTAATGTGTCTAAAAGTTTATTATCCTTTTGGTTAACTTATTTATTGGAACATCTTAAAGATAGAGATTTTCTCTATGTCTATGGGAAGAGTGGGTTTTATAATTTAAATTAGTTAGAAAATGCAGTGAGCAGATGGCAAGCTTCTGATGCTGTTGTTATTGACTGTTAATACATTGTATAACAGGCACCTGCAGTTTGGATGTTGTCATCAGACTCGGAGTCTGACTCCAAGACAATTGAAAAGCGTAAGGATATGGTTATGAATGACAGAGATGGAGACTCTACAATAAAGAAGGCTTCAAAGAGAAAATCTCCGAGAAAACAGCTAAAAGTAGAAGGTCAGACACTAAACAAAGAAAATAATGTAATGTAACAGATTATGAAAAGAAAAGTTAACAACCAAATTTGTTTACGTGAAAATCAAGAAACTAGTGGCTAACATCCCTCTTTCCCCTGTAGGGATAATTTCTCGATCAATACCTTTTTGCAGTGGATATTAAGATAATTTTACCTTTTTAAGTTGTGAATGTTGTACATAATACCTGAAGTTGCTCTGCATGTGACATGAAATACCTGACAGCAATCTTTTCTTTGGTTGTGTAGGGAATAATCCTTGCTTGGAAACTGCAGAGGAAGGACCATCCGAGAAGCCTACTCAGCCTCATGTAAGAACGTTTTAGAACCACTAACAGATTGGCAGTTTTATTGCTTACTGAGCTCACATACTGTGTTATTCTTTCTAGGTCTCAACCTCAAGGTTGCCATTGGTCCTCTCAGAGAAAGTGCATCGTTCTAAGGTAGTGAACAATTTGGCTTTTTTGGGTGTCCTTTTATGATCCTGCCATCTCTTAGGTGGGTAACTGGGTGTTGAAGGAATTCTCTCAGGATTAAATAGCCAGCCATTTCCTTCTATGCTATGAAGTCTTTTTGTCTTTATCTATGGTGGATCATCTAAAGGCAAATACTACTAGAAACATGGATTGGGAGAATATATATTCTAGGAAGAATAATCTTGGCAACTACAGCTACCTTATCATTCACCTACTTGTATTCCTTGGAGATGAATAGAGGTCAATCAGACATTTTTAGAAAAAATTTTAACTGTATTGCTCCATGGTCCATTTTACAGTGTTTTGTCTAGAATTCTCATTTGCTTTCTTGTGGTATCCTCTGGTTTTTATGATGAGAAACGGCGCAACTGGTCTTTATGTTTATACTGTGAATTTGAATTGGGGAAGCAATTTTAACCTGGCAGCTTTATGTTTTGTGCAGGCACTTGTTGAGTGTGAAGGGGAGTCCATAGATTTGAGTGGTGACATGGGAGCAGTAGGACGAATAGTCGTTTCAGATACCCCATCTGGAAATCATGAAATGTACTTGGACTTAAAAGGCATGTTTATTGAGATGCATGTTTCTTGTTGTAATAAAGATTTGTAACCACTGTTTTGTTTAACCTTTCAAGTATATTTCCTTTTGTACTGTATAGCCATATTGTTAGGTTTCCTCCTCACATGCTGGCTTTTGTAGAAACATAGTCCTGTTCATGAATTTGTCTACAGGTTTTTCAGAAAAACTGAATTATACTGTTATTAAAATTTAAACCAGTAAACCTTCTCTTCCCCTCTCTTTATATCTCTATCAGTCTGTATGAATTTTCCTCGTCTTTTTTTCATTTTTTTGTGTTCGAATTCCAGTTCAGCTCTGGGGAGTTTACCTTTCTCAAGCTCTGTCTTATTACTGGAGCCTTATTGTTGCATTTTTCCGCTGATTAGCTCTTGTCTGACTATTATTTTCTTTCATCTCAGGAACTATGTATAAAACAACAATAGTTCCTTCCCACACATTCTGCGTCGTATGTCATTCATGTCTCTTTTCTTTTCATACTGGAGATTTGTCTTTACTGTTAAAATTTGAGCAAAAAAAAAAGAGAGAGGAGGAAGAATGGAAGATAGAGCATTTAATGCATAAATGTATTTGGAAATCTCTTATTTGTTGTAAGAAGGATTCTTTGCAATGACATAACACGTCTCCTCTTGTTCAGGTTAGCTTTGGTCAGTCAGAGGCAAAGGTTTGGTTTCTATCCTTTGATGGGTTAGCGCATACATGCATATGTGATAAACTAAAATATCATTTGAAAATTTTTTACATTTTCAAGTTGGAATCTTCTATATTTTTTACATTTTGTTATTTTGCTGTCCTTGCAATTGTTTTCCCTTAATCTCTGAGCCGTGGGATGAATCAACAAAGTACTGAGAGAACCATGATACATTTCTTATCTGATATATTGACTTCGAATTATCTATTCCATGATGGCATGATCAGATTGAGGCTATCATGAATGATTTCATTCAGCTGAAGCCACAGTCTAATGTTTATGAAGCAGAGACGATGGTTGAAGGTCAGGATTTTTTTTTCCTTTTGGAATCCGCCTCCATTTCGTTAGTTTTCTCCTAAAATCAAGAGTTACCTGTCCTTTTACATATAAATAATTCATCAATAGGAACCATGGATGGATTTTTGTTTGAGTCGGATGATGAGACTGAGAAGATGCCAAAAACTACTACACATCAAAATGATCAAAATGAAGGAGCAGAGGAACAAGCAAACGGAAAAACCAAACACAAAGCTGAGAAAAAATCTGTATGCTTCTCAATCTTCAGTGAGTTAGGACATATTTTTACTACATTAGTAGGTTTTTTTTTCTTTGATACTCTATGCCTACTTATGCAGGGTTCTGTTAGGAAGGGAAGTAGACCTACCAAAGGAAAACTGCAAACACCTAAGAAAGTGAAAAAGAAAAGTGCAGTTTCTAAGAAGACCAAGGCCAAGACCAAGAAATGAGAGGCGGAGGATATATTGTAGTCGGCAATGGGAACAGAAATTACCAATATATATTTTTTTCTTTTTGAAATAAAGAAATTACCAATATATTTACATGGTTGTTTTATGGCAGTCCAATTATGAGACTGTGTCAATATGTGGGGTGTAAGGATACCAACTGCATTTTCAGTGAATGCCAGCCTTACAAGATTTATTATTGATTAATGCTAGTAGAATTTTTTACCAGTTATAAGAACATTTTGAATCTGCCATTTTTGGAGCATAACATGTTATTCTCTGCTTCTACTGACAAATTGACATTGATTACGTGGAGCCTAAAAATATCTCTTAGGGTTCCATTCATCATCAAAAAGAATCATGCAGCTTGTCTTTTCTCTTGCATTTCCTGTGCCGCTGATGCAATCAAATTTGTTCAGGGTTCTTTATTTGGCGGGAGAAAAAAAATTCAGAGCATCAAGGCCTTAACATCTCCAATTTGCTGTGATATATGAAGCAAAGATGAGAAGGATTGACACTGGAAGTGGTAAGAGGATAGTGGAAGAGGAAGCCATTTTCACAACCTTCTCGTTGTCAGGACCTGGAATGGGCATGCTTGGAGGTACGCCACCTGGTCTTTTTGCTCTGCATTTTAAATACAGATTTCTTAATGTATTTTTCATGCACGGACGAGGAGAGGAAAGAAACAGGTAAAGCATAAAAAGAGTTGAATCCTACCCATTGCTAGTAGCAGGACAGAAAACAATGGCATATTCATAAGCCTTGCATGTGAAAGTGCTGGTGCCGTCATCAAAAGCATAGCTATAAGCCCTGGGACAAGCTCGCTTGAAAATGGTGGAATAAAATGAAGGCCGGCAGGTTGTTGGGTTAGCAAAGTTGCCGCTGCAGCAGTACTGGTCAAGCCCGAATGCTTCACATGCACTCTTACAAGCAACTACTCCCCCTTGTCTTTCACCATCTCCTCCAACGACCTGAAGCTCTCTTGGACAACCTATGTTTGATTGTTTTCATAGAATTTTCACCGATTCAGATCAGGTACCATCCTTTCCTTACTATTGGAATCATTGTTTAATTTTAGCCCTTATTCTACATTTAAAACAAATTTATAGGCTTCCTAGAATTTATTTGTAAATCCGAATCTTTATGAACTCAATATTTATGATCCTATAATAAAATTTGTACTACTCTAGTTGAATTATAAATTTTGTAAATTTATTTCAAACAGAGCTTTAGTTCTTACCCAAGTTTATGTCTGAAGAGCAGCCAGTGGCATTACACGTGCCGTGCACTCCCCGTGGCACAGCAACAATTGGCAAATTATAGCCGTCCACGATGCTGACATCGTAAAAATCTTTGTCATTGCCTATGCCAAGTGTTATCTCAAAGAGTGACGCTGGTGGAGTGGCACCCATGCCGTCACATTCTAGCCTCCCTCCACAATCTCCAGTTTGACAAGACCCAATTCCTGCCTCGTCAAACGTGCAACCAGTCCTTGCCCATATACGGCCCGACCATCCTGGAACACTTGTAATTCTCACACTCTGTCCAGACTCCAGAAGGAATCCTGTTGTTGGCAGTTGTGGAGTGCCGGCACCGGCTAGCGTGCCGGGCCATATAGTGTGTCGGCAGTTATTGGTTATTGTGAAGGTGCACGAGTAAGCAGGAGAGAAAAGGGAAATGGAAATCAGCATCACGATAGCTCCGGCCAGCGTCGGGGATGTCATGGTTGCTCAGCTGCAAGGTTTGATTGGTAGCTTTTCTGGTTTTCGGTTGGCTACATATTTCAGTCCGGAGATTCTGCAAGGAAGGATTGTGTGCCATAACGATTCAAAAACTAAACGGCTAAGTTGCTTTGTTCATCTCCCAGCCGCAAAATGATCCTCTTGGGTTTAGCATTTTTGGTTTTCCTTGGATATGAATGGCCAATTTAGGAAGCAATTCCTTTCTTTGACGCCTGCATGCTACAACTATCAGATATTATGTTTATATTCATGCGTCCGAAGGGATTCCCTTCCCGCTGCCAGATGAAACGTACGAATGGAAAATATTACGACTCTTAAATTAAATGTATTCTTAAATTTTTATTTTTAAACTAATAATTTAAAGTTTAAACATTTTGATTTTTCCGGGGATATATATATAATGGTGTATATGCTAAGTTATATCGATCTAGGAATTTTATGGTAATAATTTTAATTTGCTAGCTCTTTCTATTTTCATCATTATTATCTAAATATAAATTTTCAGAATAAAAAGATAGACATGTTTAACAACGTCCAAAGAGTATTAATTTTGGAGGTGAAGACCCGGTGGACCCAGAAAAGAGATTCTCCTGAAAGTGAAAAATGTAGTTAAGTAAGATCTTCATTAAAGAAATGGTTAGTAATAAAACACGCCATTTTTATACAACCTCCCATTCCTCATCTGATTAATTTTTCATTTAACTCTTAATTAATTTTGAGCTCATACATCAATTTAATTAACCAGTACTTTTCAACAATCTCAATCCTACTTCAGTTATACATTACAATACAACATCTGACAAAACAATATTATAATACAACCAACTATTCAAAAAAATTACATTGCAATACAACCATTAAAAAAAACACTTGTGCTGACATCAATTTAGTAAAGATACAATTTTCGGAAGTCCTATGATTCAAACAATTATGACTAAAAACAAATTATTAAACATAACCAAAGCACCTTTGAAGAGCAGAGGGCAGTAGTAGAACAAAGAACTTGGGATCACTGCACCAAGACAGCGAGACTCGGGAAATCAACCTATAAAAGTACTTCGGTTGGTTTAGCAACCTGCTCTCCAACGTTGTTCAAGGAAATCAAGATTTAGCAATGTTTTCCGAGCTCAAGAACATCTGAAACTCATCTTCAACTTGCTTCATTCGCACTTTTCGATTGAGCACCATCTAGTAAGAACTTACTACTAGGATCACCAGCTCTTGGAGCTCAAAACAACCATTGAGATTCCAGACAGAAAGAACTTCAGTATTGTAGTAACTCTTTTTCTTCCGTGTAAAGGGAAACCAACCGCCAAGTGAAGATAATTGGATGAAGACAAACAGAAAAACTGAAACGATGTCCTCAATTAAGAGCCACAGGAAATCCTTCAGCAGATCTTGCCCTACGAATGTGGGTCAAATGGAAAGATAAAAGATTTAAGCAATGTGGGTCAAATGGAAACGGATAAAAGATGTAAGGATAAAAGATGTAAGCAATCCCTCAAAGCTAGGGATACAGGCACATACCCAAAAAGATGTCAAAATCATAAGCCATACCTGGTGGAAAATAATTCATAGGAAAGAATATTACTGTTTTTCATAACTGGCAACACTTATAAACCCTCCCTTAGTCGGGTGCTACTATAATGCCTAATGCCTCCACCAATTCCAACTTGGGCAAGTTGGAATTTCCCATATTAGTCAAGCAAACCAGGACTAAGACCTCCAAATGCTTTTTCCATTAAACAAAGAAAGCCACGCATAAGAAGGTAATTTTGGTTGTCATCAATTTTTGTGGTGCTCTGCATCTTCCTTATCTTGTATCTTTCTTGCATGATTGGCAAAAGCTACTACCTCTTCTCGAAACTGAATCATTGATTAAGGCACAGTAATTAAACAATTAAGATTCTGCCAAAAAAAGGTTTAAATCGTTACACACAAATCAACAATCGTATAGAAGAACGTCAACAACACTCACCTAACTGAATTCTAAGAGGCGATTGTCCAAAAGCCCCAACATCTGAAATAAACAACATGTCAGATATCAAGTCATCTGAGCATTCTGCTGATCTGCCTTTTTCATCCATTTTGTGCAAGGGCAAAAGTACCTGCAGGGTGGAAAAGACAAGTCAACAAACATTATTGACTACATTATAGAAATGTAAAACTCATTTGCTACTGCAGAAAGGATAAATAAACTCTCCCGAGTTGCAAATTTCAACCCCTGCAAAAGCAACACATGCTTCAGGAACACGTATAACAAAACAAACACAAATAACAAAACACAAAGAGCAATAAATAGTAAGAGGTAAGTGTATAACAATAGTGTATCACTCCCTTTCAACTGCAAAAAATGCAACAGAACCAAAAGAGTTTTCTACCAGATAACAATCCAAAAAGATCCTTCATTTTGAAGAACTTGAAAAACCTGTGCTGCATCAATCAAGGATATCAAGAACCTTATGAAACATGAACTTACACAAGTGATGTCAAAGGTTTAAAAAGCAAAAGACAGTATAGAATAGGTACAAATTAAGAAAAGCTAAAAAGAAAAGACAAAGAAATGATATGTATGAACAAGAATATACAGCTATGGTCACTCCAAATAAAATGTAATACCCACGGACCACCACAATTATATCTGCACCAATACAATTTCCAAAAAGAAGCAAGTCCACTTCAATGAAGATGAATATACACGGTGACCATAGGACAAAATAAATACATAGAACTAGTTAATAAAAATTTATCATTCAAGTTTTGGCAAGGACCTGAAAGCATCCAGGTCAAGTCAGTTCCAAATTAAGAAGGAATTAGAAGGAAACGAGTGTTCCTACAGGCAAAGTTTGTTGAAGAGCTACACTGCATTAAACAAGACTAGAAAATTAAAGTGTTCCTACAGGCAGGTGGGATACGACAAGTCCACCATTAAAGTAGCCACATTAGGTCTGTTATCCATATACGTTCCATGAAAATGAAAAAGGAAAAAACTTAGACGGAACATGAGAAAGGTAAAAGGATAATAGTCTTTACGGCCATAAGATAAAATATAATAACAATCTAACAATCTAGCTCATATCCATGCCATCTCCAACTTGGCTGCAGATTGGACTGACAGCAGAGAAAGATCTCTCAAAGGGAGAAGGATGGAATTGTGCATCACGTCTGCGCTTAAAAGCACAGCTTTCAGAAGGGGAACTCTCAGCATCAAGCTTCCTCCGTACTCCTCTAACGGCCTGTTCCTCAGCTGGTGTGAGGGGAAAAACCTTTCTACTTGCTCGGCAAAGAGAACTATGGTTATCATACAAAATTCTCTGGTTACAATTCTTGTCACAAATGTGAGTAAGTCCTGTTAGTTTGCAGCGATACATGTTTCCGCAAACATGCTCATTTTCACATTTCCAATCACATTTGTGAACAGGAATTGGCCCATCACGGCCCAGAATAGCGGACAAGTAAATAACATTTGCAGGGCCAGCAACGGCGGATTTTCCATATACCTCCATTGTTTCAGGATATCGAACAACCTCCCGTGATCCAAAGGTCCAAAAGCCCTTCGGTCTGCAGAGCCCAAGACAGTAGAACAAACGGTCAAAATTCGTCGCGTATGGTTAAGAGGTGACCGAAATGGTCTCTTTTTTTTTTTTTCCTTTCTCCTTTCTTTTCTCCCCTCAAAAGACTATGCAATTATTAAACTACTTGAGAAACGGGCAAAGAATCAAACATAAGGTGCTAAAGAAATGAAAATCATATAGGGAAACACTGTCGGCAGTAATTATAGATTTAAAGCTCGAGCAGTCTTCCAGTTAGAACGGTTATGAATTACAGATCATTAACGGATAATTTAGGAGCAAATTCGAGGTAAATTTAGGGGTTTATTGAAAGAACAAACCATCATCGACTATATAAACCACCAACATCGACAGAACAACATACAAGCTGTACAGATCTGAAGTAAGGCGAACTCTTTAACGGAAAAGGAAAGAAAAATAAACTATATTTTTAGAAAAAAACGATCGATCATTGCTGATGCAGGAAAATGAAATTAGAAAAAGAGCAGAAAACAAGAGGAGGAAGAAGGAAACTAACCTGATTTCTTCCACCAACAGTGAGAAGCAGCAAACGCTTCAGGGACGCCCTAGCTCCTCTGACCTTCTCTCTCTCTCTCTCTCCGAAATTCTAAACCAAGAAAAAAAAATCTCTAAATCTCTCTCTCTCTCCTCCGAAAAAAGAAAGCAGGCACAAAAGAAGAACAGGGAACGGGAGTAAGAGGGGGTATTTATAGATCAAGATCGAGCGGATATGTTGGGTGGGGGGGATCGGATAGTGGAAGGATATGATAAAATATACTCGTTTCCACCTAAAAGATCTGTACTTTATTTTTAACCGTTAGATAAAAGTTATTACTTTAAATACATTAATTGTTTTTTAATCTGACGGTTCAAACCTATTGCTCACACCAAATCCTATGGTTACGTGCCTATTTACATAGTTTCCTAACGGATCGCGACCCACGCGCTCTTGATACTTTCACGTGCTCACGCACCAAAAACAAAAAGAAAGATACTGCCAAAAAAAAAAAAAAAAATTTAAAATAAAAATAAAAAGTTCGGTGAGGGTAGAAAGGTAATTTCGCAGGGTGGATGGACGGAAACGAAACTCCTACTCTTCACCTACAATTCTGGTTTGGATAACTTCTCGGACTTTTTGCCATTAAACTCTCACGTGTCCAACGGTTCTGTTTGTCTCCCTCTCGCTTCACTTTTCTTCGACGAGTACTTCTCATTTATTTATTTTTTATTTTCAATTTACTCTTCCGCTATTATTTAATAATAATTAATAATAATTAATTTCGTAGCGACTTTAAACGGTCTTCTGCGACAAGTTCGAGACAGGCCGAAGACTATATCAACGTATCACAACTTGACACGTGTGCACTAACTTCCTTTAACTTCGCTATATCACAAGATACCTAAATAAATAATAACTTTTGAAAAAAATATCTAACGATTTAAAATTTAAAAAAATATAATAAATTTAATTTAATTTAATTTAATTTAATTATTACGCCTCATCAAATAATCTGTACGCGCTTAACACGTGTAAAATCCATTCAGTGTTTTCTTGGTTTTAAATTTTCTAATCCCTTTTATAGCCGCTGTAGGAGTAATAATTTCTTTATATGATTTATTTAAAAATAGATTTTAAATTATTTTCTCAAATTAATTATGCGATAAATATTTTTGAGATCTTTATTTTATTTTATTTTATTTTTTATGAAATAGGTTAACTGAACTTCTATTTTTTATTTTCATGAATTAATATAGAAAAAATAAATAATTTCTATACTATTTTTCATGTAATTAGATTGAAGGTTTTTAATTTGGAACATTTTTTATTAATTTTAAAAACTTAAAATCAGATTTTATTTTTTATTTTTTAATTTATCATCAATTATAAAATCGTAAATTATTTTCATTAAAATAATAAAATAATAATTAAAGATAAAAATAAATAAACTCAGCCCATTAAAAATCCCAAGGCCCATCTCTTTTGGGCCAAGACGGGCTTCTTTATTTATTTATTTTTAATTCCAAATGGCTGGCCCTGCTTTCTTCTTTTTCTTCTTCAGTGTCCAACGTCTGCTAGCCGCACAGTCATCCTTCTTCCTTCTTCTCTCTCAACTCGGCTTCGCCGTCTCTGACTGTTCTTCTCCGACGCGGCTTTTTTCTCTTCGAGAGGCAAGCATTATTGAAGGTATCTTCCTCTCCGCCAATCTCCATCTCGCGCACGAGTCAGCCTCACGACATCGGGTTGGGACGGTTTTGCGGCTACTAAAGGTAATTTTTAGGGTTGTTGCAGGCAATTATCGGGTCTGATAGGCTTTAGTCAGGGCTATTTTTTATTGGTTGTTCGGTTAAGCGGCTGGAAAGATTTGAAGTTTGCCTAATCTTTAGTTTAATAGATGATTCAGTTACTAGTGTGCTAATTTCCACTTTGATGGAACTCTGCTCTAATTGTGCACTATTGTTCATCCACCTCCTGAGAGTGGGGAGTTATTTGTGATAGACAGTGCAGAAACTTCAAAATCAAGTTTAGTCGTTGGTTTTGTATTGGATTTATTGTAGGTTTTTAGTTAAGATTTTGGGGGTAAATTTTCTTTGTTAAGCCTACTGACTAGCTTGATGGGAAGATTGTGTGAAGCAAACTAATTTTCATCTCAATTTTATTTGGATATGTAGAACAATTCTGTATATTTTTATTCATTCTTACATATATTGTTTCAACCCGGTTCGTTGATATACATGGTATATACGCTTATGATTTATTGATCATTAAATACTTTTACATTGATCTGTGTCCTTTACTTCATGGTCATTGGACATCCCAGGAATATTTAGCAATCTGATTACTGACAACTAGTTGAATCCGGTTTGGATCAGATTATTCTCCATATCAATTCAATGACAATATAGGTTTAGTCATGATGACACCTTCACCGATTGCTTGTTATGGCCATTTAAAGTATGGTAGATTCGTACCAGTCGTTTGTTTGATGATGTAGATTCCTACGGTACCTAAGATCTCGGTTCCATTGAAGATGGCTGTATGAATGATTAAAACTTGGTTTCTAGATATGGTAGTGATATGGATGGGCTACTTAATGTTATTTTACGTTTTCCATTCGAGCAGTTTAAAATTTCAAGTTATTTGCTTGATCATACATGAGTAGGCTACTGTAGTTTGTTGTTTGCTGTCTGGACAATTAAACAGTTACATTCCAGAAGAGATCTCTTACCTTTATACCCACATGTTCGTCACATTTAAGATTTATTTGAAGTTCCCAGGTCTCTGATATATCATCCTAATGAGTTGCTTACAATACTTTGATTGGACACAAGCCAAATGCTTCTTGCGATTAAGTTTACTCCATATAAAAAAATATTCAAATCCCTTTCGGCATCATTAGTTGCTACAGTTGTGTTTTATTGTGAATTTTGAACCTTCCTGCCGGATTCCCTGTAATTGTTTTTTTATGTTCATTATCCTTTTATCAATTTTATAATGCTTTAGTTCTTCCGGGCTTTTTCTCGTAATCTTTTAGTGTTAGATTTCTCGTTTAATACTTCCTAGTAAAACCTTGCTCAACTGCATAGATATTGATCTTCTTTGATTGGGAATGAGCTGGATCTGGAGCTCTTGATTTCTGTCTCATTAGTCTGCTTTTTTCCCCTTAAAATGTTGAATGTGTTAGTCTGATGATGAAGTATTGTGACTTTTATAGGATCATGGTGGGATTTAAAAACAGGTACATGGTAATGGAGGTCTTCATTGATCCAAATAGAGAACTTGCTGTAGAAGACCCCATCATTCTTACCCAATTCAATGTCTCCAAAGCAATCAAAGATAGCATTCTTGTGAACTTTGGGGAGTGTGGCATGGCCTCATCTTTAGGATCATTCCAAGGTGAGAGAACATGGTGGTAATTTATCTCTTTTATTTTCTTGTTCATCGATTGTCAGTATAATATGCGTGGCTTTTTTCTGTAGTCAAGTATGTGAATCCCATTACAAAACTGTGTATCATCAGAGCCTCAAGAGAGGAGCATCAGAAAGTCTGGAGTGCTATTACCTTGGTTACAAGTATCGGAAATTGCCCGGTGTTGTTTAACTTACTGGACCTTAGTGGTAAGTCGAATAGGCAATACTGTTTTCTGCCGTATACTAATAGGATATTTAACTGCAAATTCCATGTTTTTTGTTTTAGCAGGATGTATTAGAGCATGTAAAACCGCAGCGATGAAGTGCGAAGAAAGTAAGTTTGAGCAGTACAGAATCGTGGGGAGGGAGAATCTCCCGGTGGATGTTACTCAGCGGATGCAAAATTATGTTGAAAAGATAAAATTATTAGAGAACTGAAATTGAAAGTCTGTCAAGCGGGAGAGCCTCTGGGCCCCACAACCTCTTGCTTTTGGTATCAATCAGAAGTTCCGTGATTTCGAGACGTACAATCTGCATGGAACTAGTGGATTTTTCCAACCACGTCTTTCAACTAATTTTTGTACTTACATAATTATTATCTATCATATAATTTTTTATATCTATAAAATAATTTATAGAATAAAGTTTTTTTTTTGTTCATTTTTTTAAAAAATAGAATACCTATATATTAATTATTATTAAGTAAAATATTATATTATTACATACTATTTTTTAATTTGTGATTTTAATGCTTCTTTGTCAAACATTATCGTTATTTTCGAATTAATTATTATTCATTGAAATTTAAAATTTTTTCGGCTTTAATTTGTTAGGATATTGGAAACTATACGTGACATTTAAAAAAAATAAGTTTTTGGTTTAAAAAAAAAAATGTCAAATCCTATTCGAAAGTGGTAGGCGAAAATACTTAGGATTTGAAAAAGTCAACCTCGCTCTACTGCAGAGAACTGCGAGCCCCCACTATATTGGATGACGTAATAATAAAAGTTTGAAATTTGCTTTAACAAATTATTTTATTTTAAATATATAAAATAATAACTTCTAATATAGTGTCTAATAAGCTACTCAGTTTTTTAAGTAATGTTTTATTATACATTAGGCACTACTGAGTTATTGTTGTTGACTTTTTAATAGTCAACAAAAATAGTAATTAACAGTTGAAAATATAGTCTATTATTATTATTATTATTATTATTATATTCACAATAAAGTCTGTGCACTGCACCTAGTAAAATAATAACTTTATTGGGAAACGCGAAAATTTAATGCCCATTTTACCACATATAACATATTAATTTAAATGATATGCCATTTTATTTTGTAGAGTTAATTTATTGGAATTATCTATTTCTTCTAGGAAAAAAAAAAAAATAATTGTACATACATCGTATATGCACGTAACGATCGAGGTAGCCCATTAATGGAGTGTAATTTCCATATAATTATATATATATATATATGCATTATGCATATAATAAGTATATTATTATTATTTTACTATTATTTAAATGTGAATTATATTATGGGTTTTTTTTTTAATAATTACATAAATGTTAATTTCAAGAGTACTAACATGGCAACAATGAGAGTAGAAGATTTATGTATTTTGCTTTCTATTTAAATTTTGTAGGTTTATATTAAATTTATATATTATAGGTATTTATTTTTATACACAATTTATATATTAAAAATTATAATGCTACTTTAACTAAAATATTATAAATGTGACACATATTTTAAAAATTTATAAAGTTAATTTTACTTACGCCCACTACTCGAAGAAAATTTTGACATGAATTATATATTATTGTTATAATATAACAAAGGTGTATCTTATATATATATATATATATGTATAAACACACAAGGCAAAAGTAATGGGTGGGCCGCCATGAGAAAAGATATGAAATGGCGGCCGCCAACTCTACTTACCCTTTAGTTGAATAGTTATACATTTTTTCATTTACATCAAAGTTATGAATTTAAGTTATTATACATATATATATGTATATTTATTTAAAAGTCTTTTTATATTATTATATTATTGATCTATATATATGTATCGCTACATTTATTCATCTTCTGTTTCTTGTGTGTGTGTGTGTTCGTGTATAAACAAACTGGTTTGATACTTTATAATTTCCTATCTTTTTGAACTAGGAAAGTGACACCCATTCGTCTTCTCTCAATACATATACAAACACATATACTGCTACTCGTACGTACATATATATTATAAATGATTATCTTACCACACGTACATATATATGTATGTATATGTATATGTATTAGCCAGCTTTTTAAACGTGTTCGATGTATAATAGAATTTATTAACGTGACATTTTTATTTACGGTTACAAAAAAGAAAAAGGAGAAAGTTACTCGCATGATATGTGATACCAATTATGACATGCCGTGCCGGGGGATTTATTATAGGGTGAGTGACCTTCAAGTTATGCCATTTACCATTTACCATTTTACCAGTTTTGTTCTGTGTATTATATTTACTGTATATTTTAACTCCATTTAATTTTTTAAAATTATTTTATAATTTGGTGTGGTAAAATCCATATTAGAAAAAATATATATATATATATTTTTTAAAAAATATAAAGTTTGTTCAACTGAAATTTTAAATCAAAATACACCCAGTTAAACTTAAAACTTACATTGTTCAAAACATCAAAATTTTCTTTTCAAAGAATCATAATGTTGTAACCTATAAGATTCTTAAAGAACAGAACTTTTTGAGGATGGTGAAAAGGGATGGATGGGAATCACCAAATTGGTAAGCTCATCCTTGTCCGCGTAGACCAGGGAAGGAGACCCATTTGAAAGGGAAACACACCCACAATCCATATATATATATATGTGTGTGTGTGTGTGTGTGTGTATCTATATATGTAAATCTTGAAGAAGACC